CCCCTCGGCTTCCCAGCAGAGCGCTTCTTCCCCTCACGGGCGGGGACTGGCAGCTGCAGCAGTAGGGCCGGGGGAGCGACGGCTTGTGAGCGCCCTGCCGGTCAGCCTCTTCTCCAGGTGCCCTGATGAGGGGCGCCAAACTGCACTCACCCCCCGCCAACAGCCCCCCCGCTGGCTCTGACTGGGTGGGCACAAGGGGCTCCAGAAGGGATCCTCGCCTAGAGTGCAAAATAAGCTGGGGCTGGCCCTGTACCCACTGCACCTCCCCACCAGATCTACAAGGTGCCCTGTGAAATGGAGGGGAAGTATATACCGTCCCCCCTCTTTGGGAGCGAGGAGGACTGTGTGAATCAGCCATACGTGTTTGTATCACACATCATCTACACATTGTACAGGTGCAGCGTACCTCAGATTTATGGCAGTTTCATTTTCACTGGAGAGCAGAGCAAGCTCGGACCCTTACTTGGATGATCTTTAAATAGAATTCATTACTGTTCATTGCTCATATATAAGCAAGAGTATTTTCCATTAATGAACATGAACATGGTTAATAAAATACAAAGTCCATATATTTTCTAGGTAGTACACATGCTCCTTTAGGATTAGAAGTAACATAGTCAAAAAAGGGAAACCGTTTTTCCACAAAATCATATGCGTTATAGTATACGATTGGTTCTATAGATTGTTATTTGTTATTTGTATGTTTGTTGTTAAAAGTTATATAAAATTTAAAAATGTATGTTTAAAGAGTATTTTCCCAGATCAGGAAATAAGAGGGCCCTTAAGTTTTAATGTACGCTGCCCTAGATCACCAGATATGAGGATATGGAAAGCCTTCGCTTTCAGAAAGGAAATGGGATTTTTTTCCCCCATCTCCCCAATGACTTCAATAGAGGAGAGAACCATTGAGATGAATGGGGGAAATGGCTGGCGCAGTATCTCTGGACACAGGCAGGCAGGGAGGGATGGAGATGAAAGCGGGAAGGGCCAATTCGACTCGTGGATGGGCTCGGACAACTAGATCCTGATTTTTTAAAATACATTAATTGGAAAACTCATATCATGTTCTGGCTGCTTGCTGTTCATATTGTGCCTTTTTAAAACCTTGAATATCTAAACAAGTACAAGCCTTTTTGCATGGCCCAGAGTGAGGCTAGAGACTGTAGCCCTTAGCCAATGTCCTTTTTAAAAGAACAGCACTGATTGGAGAGCAGCTGTGCCGCAAAGGGTGTCACAGGAAACATACGGAGCCAACCCTCTGATGTTTGCTCTTTCAGGCACGGCCGGCAGCTGTCTCCGCAAATTCAGCACCATGCCTTTCCTGTTCTGTAACATTAACAACGTGTGCAATTTTGCCTCCCGGAACGATTATTCCTACTGGCTCTCCACCCCAGAGCCAATGCCGATGAGCATGGCTCCCGTGACGGGGGAGAGTATCCAGCCTTTCATCAGCAGGTGAGCATTTGGGCAGTAATTTCAGCCCTAAAAATTTCATGCAAAAGGAAATAAACGAAAGGATTCTGTGGAGCTCTCTCTCTCTAACTTGCTTATTCATGTTGTTCTGGGGTGGTGTCAAACACAGCCCTGTTGTGCTCCCTCTGCACCCCGGTGTGGTGCCTCCCGTAGCGCGTCCTTTCGAGGAGGAGGAGGAGGGATGCTGAAGGCGGGGGAAGCGTTGGGGCCTCAGATGAGCAGGGGACGGGGTTGACTTCACCCCGTAGGTCCCTCTGCTGTCACACAAGGTGCCTTCTGTTGGCTCAGTCGTGTCTCTCTCTCTCTGTCCTCACCTTCGCACGTTTCTCCTCCTCCCCGGCCCCTTCGCTTTCCCCTTCTTTTATTCCTTTCCCGGCTCCCAGCACCGCCCTCTTTCCCCACTGCTTCCCTCGTCCTCCCAGCCCCGCCCCCTGTAATAAGCCTGGACCTGGGCCGGCGTGTGGGGTGCTCTGGGGTTGTGCACTAGTCATCAGCCTCTCCATGGCGGCGCTTGCGTTGCCGCTGCCTTGTGCGGTTCCTCGGAGCCCTCGGCTCTGTGGTCGAGCCCGGCCGGAGCGTTGTGCCTCCCAGGCGGAGGCGGTGGCTGGTGTGCCGCATTGTCCTGGCTTTAGCGCCCAGCCTGGTGTTGGTTTCATCTGCATTTGGGATGCTCCGGGTGAGTCTGTCGTCCGGGGGGGTGTGGGTGGAGTCCCGAGACCTCTGGACCAGGACAGCCCTAGGGTTGCCAACTCCAGACTGTGAGATTCCTGGAGACTTGGGAGTGGAGCCCAAGGACGGTAGGATTCGAGGGGCAGAGGAAGCTCAGCAGGGTGGAATCCCATAGTCCTCTCTCCAAAGCAGCCATTTTGTCTTCTCCAGGGGAACTGATTTCTGTAATCTGGAGATCAGGTCCAATTTTTGAAGATCCCCAGGTCCCGCCTGGGGGATGGCAACCCTACCCAAACCCCAGTTGTATTAGGTCATTGTGGTTTCACGCCATCTTGCTTCCCTGACTGCTGCCATCTGGAAGGTCCATTCCCCGGCCGTGCTCTTCTGCCTCCCTTGTTCCAGGTCTTCTGTCTGTCCCTGGTGGAGAGGGCGGAGTCGGGTGACTCATCCGGGCTCCTGAGTGATGAGGGTTAGGTTGTCACTCATGGGGCAGCACGCACCTTGTTTCCTTTCCTCGGCCACAAAGGTCACTATCTGTGAAGGGGTGGGAGAAGGAGGGGCCCAGCTGGCCGTCTACCATTATTTCCTTTGCAGGGCCTGAAAACATAGAACATAAACAACTTTCTAAAGTTTAAGAGGGTAGCTGAGTTGGTTGGCAGTAGAACAGCTAGATTCAAGTCCAGTGGCACCTTAGAGACCAACAAACGTCTTACCCACCCCGCCAAATCTTGTTGGTCTTGGGAGAGCCAGTTTTGTGTAGTGGTTAGGAGCGTGGAGTCTAATCTGGGAGAACCGGATTTGATTCCCCACTCCTCCACATGCAGCTGCTGGTGTGACCTTGGGTCAGCCACAAGTTCTCTCAGAGCTGTTCTCTCAAGGGCAGTTCTCTCAGAGCTCTCTCAGCCCCACCTACTTCACAGGGTGTCTGTTGTGGGGAGGGGAAGGGAAAGGTGACTGAAAGCCACTCTGAGACTCCAAGTAAAGGTCAGGGTATAAATCCAATCTCCTCCTCCTCCTCCTCCTCCTAATGTTTCTCCTTTAAAGTTGGCTGTTAATTTCTACACCCGGTGGTAGTATTCTCAGGGGCTGGTGGTTTTCATTACACCTTTCTTTGGCCTCAGCTCCAGCAACAGTGATGTGAACGGGGTGGTTATCCGTGCTTCATTTTTTTCTCCCGTTGGATAATACTGTTTCTCCTTCAGCTGCTTGGTTGTACAGAGGCAATGAAAAGTAATCTAATTTTACATTCAGCTCTGTGAGCGGAACGTTCAAGATCCGTCCGCAGCTTCGGTGAGGCCTTTGTGCCTCTCCTTGCGAACTCTTGTTGGTTAATTGATCTCTGAATGTAAAAATAATGACTCTTTGTTGGGCAGGGGGGAGACGGGGTTTGTGCTGTCTGAAATGGCAAAGACTGGGGGAGGACACAGGGGGGGGTACAGAATCTCATTTTGGCCATTTTTGTAAAAAAAAAAACCCTTTCTCAGATGTTCTGTGTGCGAAGCTCCAGCAATGGTGATGGCAGTTCACAGCCAGACGGTCCAAATCCCGCCCTGTCCAGACGGCTGGAGATCTCTCTGGATCGGCTACTCCTTTGTGATGGTGAGTGCCCACTGTGTCAGGAATCGGGTTCAGACACGGATCAAAGTCTCAGTAGCTTTTCTGCATTTCTCAGTCAGAAAGATCCCCCTTCATTTGATTCGGTTTCTCTGCAAGAGTAGGGGAGCGCCTGTTTCTCAACTAATTTTACAGGGAGGTTTGAAGGAGATTCTGGTTTCCTCACTGTGAGGTGATCTGAGACAGTCTCCCATTTCATGGTGAGAAAAGGAGACTGGACGGAGTCTGGTCTTGTAAAGCCAGTTCACCGCAGCCAGACCAGAACGTGATTTGCAGTGTGAGATCCAGTCATAGAGTATGCAAGAAAACTGTCTGAGGAAATGAGTTCATGAGGAAAAAAACAATTATGTGGATTAGCGCTAAGCATTACTGTTGCAAACGCCACAGCTTCAAACAGGGCCTGGAAAATATGTTATTTTTCTTTTGCTTTTTTGCTCAAGGTGGATAACAAGAAGAAAAATAAAATAATGAACGTGTTGTTGTTTTTTTATAAAAAATCCATGAAACCTCTAAAAGAATTCAGTCATACTAACTCCCCCAGCAATAAAAACAATCCCATCTTCAGTATAAAACCTGCAGTTGATATAACCAACAGTGTAAAGAATCAGGCCATAAAATCATCAAACGGGGTGGGGGGGGAAAGATGGAATAAATTTTCAGTTAAGAACATAAGAGACGCCAATGTTGGATCAGGCCAAAGGCTCATCCAGTCCAACACTCTGTATCACACAGTGGCCAGAAATACCAGCACCATCAGGAGGTCCTCCAGTGGGGCCAGTTAAAATCTGGGTGGATAGAAAAGTTCTTGCTTCATCCCTAAATGCTAACAGGGAAGGAAGCAGGTGTGCTTCAAAGGGGAGGGCATGCCACAACCAGGGCGCCAACCACTGAGAAAGCCCTGTCTCTAGCTGCCACTCACCTCAGCTCTGCAGGCAGAGTTCAGAGAGGAGGGCTTGGGAGATGGATCTTAACTGGTGGGCTGGCCGGTACAGGTGGAGGGGGTCCTTCAGGTACTCCATCCCCCAGCTGTTTAAGGGCTTGAAAAGTGAGCACCGCCACTTTGAATTGTGCCTAACAGCAGAGTGTCAGCCAAAACCAGAATTTCTTGACGATAAAGCGGAAAGTTACTGGAGAGAGAGGCAAAGGGGTTTCCCTCCCTGCTGAAATTTTATGTAGAGGCTACATGGGAAAAGTAAGCTACCCAATGGGAAAGAGGCTCCTCGGAACAGTGCTTGTGCTTCTCTTCCTCTTCCGTCTTAAACTCTCAACGCACACCCTTCTCCTTTGTAAGAACATTATTCTCCCAGCCTAAGAAGACATTGCTTGCCTCATTGGGAACTAGAACTAAAGCGCTCCGGCAGTTCCCAGATCCTAGGCCAGAGAAACAAAGGAGTCAGCAAAGAGATCAGTCGTCTCCACTTGCTTCATCTGCCTGCATTGAGGGCACTTCGTAAGAACATAACATAAGGACATAAGAGACGCCAGTGTTGGATTAGGCCAAAGGCCCATCTAGTTCAACACTCTGTGTCACACAGTGGCCAGAAATACCAGTGCCATCAGGAGGTCCACCAGTGGGGCCAGGACATTAGAAGCCCTCCCACTGTTAACCCCCCCCCCCAAGCACCAAGAAGACAGAGCATCCCTTGCCCCAGAGTCCCTATCTATACCTTGTGGCTAATGGCCACTGATGGACCTCTGCTCCATATGCTTATCTAATTCCCTTTTGAAGCCGTCCATGCTTGTAGCCGCCACCACTTCCTGTGGCAGTGAATTCCAAGTGTTAATCACTCTTTGAGTGAAGAAGGACTTCCTTTGATCCGTTCTAACCCGACCGCTCAGCAATTTCATGGAGTGCCCACGAGTTCTTGTATTGTGAGAAAGGGAGAAAAGTACCTCTTTCTCTACCTGCTCTTTCCCATGCATAATCTTATAAACCTCAATCATGTCACCCCTCATAGGGAAAGTGTTCCAACCCTTTTATCATTCGAGTTGCCCTTTTCTGCACTTATTCCAAAGCTATAATATCCTTTTTAAGGTGTGGTGGCCAGAATTGCACACAGTTAAAATTTCGTTTAACTTCATAAGTTAAAATTTGCTCAGGGACACAGTTCAGACTGAAGCAGTCCCAAGTCAGAATTACTGGAACGTCATTCTAGGAAAGGGCTGCTTCAGGAGGAATGAGGGTAAAACCTGGGTCACCATTCAGACACAAGCCTTTTCTTCATAACTAGGTATGTTTGTTTTCATGTCTTGCGCCTCTGTTTAAATGCAGTTCCCGCACGCCACTGGTTCATTTGCCTCCATTTCCCAATGAATTGTTGTTAAGCACAAACAAGGCCTTGGTCCATAACCAAACCTAACGCCATTTCATTCTAACCCGATGCCCGTCTTTGTTCGCAGCACACGAGCGCTGGGGCAGAGGGCTCGGGGCAAGCCCTGGCATCTCCTGGCTCCTGTTTGGAAGAGTTCCGCAGCGCGCCCTTCATTGAATGCCACGGGAAGGGAACCTGCAACTATTATGCAAACGCTTACAGCTTTTGGCTCGCCACAATTGAGAGGAACGAAATGTTCAAGTAAGTTCCTGCATGCTTGGATAATCGAATATGTGCACCTAGAGAAAGGAGGCGGCCTTTTCAGCTGAGATGATTATGAGAGGCAAAAGAGTCAGCTTTGAGCGATTGGATCCGTTCATGCTTTTTCATTTGTTTGTGCCTCTGCTGCTCTCCCTGCCATTCAGATTCAGGATGAATAACAGCAGTCCAGAGGAGCTTGACTGTCTGCTGTAATAAGGGTTGTATTTAGATGAACACTTTTGGATCTGCTATCGATTCAGGCCAGGGAATAGCAGTGGTATACAGAACCAAAGGTTGCCGTCACATCTGGTTTCCTATAAAGGACCCAATCCAAGTTTAAGTAAAGGTAAAGGTTCCCTTGCTCGAAAGCCAGTCGAGTCCGACTCTAGGGTTGCGGTGCTCATCTCCGTTTCAAAGCCAAAGAGCCAGCACTGTCCGAAGACGTTTCCGTAGTCATGTGGCCGGCATGACTAAACACCAAGGTGCATGGAACGCTGTTCCCTTCCCACCGAAGTTGTACCTATTTATCTACTTGCAATTTCTTGCTTTTTAACTGCTAGGTTGGCAGGAGCTGGAACTAGAGACGGGAGCTCACTCCGTCATGCGGCACTCGGGTCTCGAACTGCTGAACTACCGACCTTCCACAGCCTGCAGTTCAGCGTCTTAACCACTTGAGCCACCATACAAAACATGAATTATTATTCAAAAAATATATCTTTCTCCATAGTTTTCTTCATACAAAAACATTACAAGGAGACGCAGTCTCAAAAAGTTGAACACAAAGGCAACATAGGTTTAAAGACACTGTAGATACAGTCCAATATCAAGGCACACAATTCCAAAATAAAGTCTAACAGTTTAACTCCCACGTTGCCTGATAAAAGGCACAGTCATATAAGAAATGTTCTGTTTTTAGAAGGCACAGCCATATAATCAGTGTTCTGTTTTGATGGGGCGTGTTGACCTTCCTTCTTTCTCCCGTTTCTCAAAAGAGCTTCCTCTGAGAAGTGGCCGTGACCAATCTGTGGCAACACTTTTTCTTTCAATCTTGAGATCTTCCAAGTTCTGTGGCATTCCTAGTTTGGCAGAAGAGCTATAAGACTGGAAGGTTTCTGATGGCTCCTAAGAGCTGGAAATAATTTGGTTGAGATTCAGAGCATTTACTCTGTTTACAAATGGCCTTTGTTTGGTGTTGGATCTTGACTAAAATTCTTCACTGTACATCTCCAGACAGAAGTGTATACGTTGAGCATTGCCACTTAAGGCTTGTATCCCCAGAGCATTCTGATGGTCCTTCCCCTGTTCACTTTGGTGTCATGCCTTTCAGTAGCAAAGTAAACAACAGGCTCCTTGCATTCTCATTTTTGTCACATGTGTGTCCTTATTGCTTTGGTTTTTTTTTCTTTTTGTGAAATGTTTTGCTCCTTCTAGTGGTCGATTCACTATTACATTGCTATAAGAACATAAGAGAAGCCAATGTACATTGCCTTATGTCTGGTATAAAAACTGGCACTTTAATGCAGGGAGATATGCCGGATGTCTAGTGATGTAATATCAAATCGGCCACTGGAGGGAGCAAAGCGTGTGTGGGAAAGGGGGGGGGGACCCTCAAAGCAACAGGGACACAAGGGCGACAAAAATAAGGATGTGGAAGAGCCCAACAACCACTGAAGAGGCAAGAAGGTGTCTACCATTTTATATTTCCATTTCTTACACAATAGGTGGGTGTGGTTTTGACTTCAGTTGTGTTCAGACTTCAGAGCAAGGCCGGCTTCTAGGCTAGGGCTGCCAAGTGGGGGGCGGGTAAACCCCCGCTTTGGAGGCCCAATTTCCGCCGCCGCGGAATCGAGCCCCGGGGGGAACTCTGCCCCCTGAAGCGCAGCGTGGCTGCGTCACCAGAGGTGACGCAACCACGTCAATCACGTTGGGGGCGTGGCCCCGATAGTCGGAGGGAAAACTCTATGGTCGATGTCACGCATCACTTCCGGTGACATGCTGGCGTGCACGTCCACCTACGGCTCCCCACAGCCTTAGAAACACCCAATTCTGCGTCTGGTATTATCATTTGATTGTGGGGACCCGTACACACACACACACACTAAAATCTTTCAGCAAGGGCCCCAAGAGACAATTGTGACAGTGGAGGAAGAGCTCGACGGCTTTGCTCCCGTGCGCGGGTTCTCCCTCCCCAAGCGGGCCTTTCCTGGGATGCACACTCCCAATATGTGCAGTAATCTGCTTCCCCGCTTTCTTCCCTCCCTCCCTCCCACGATCTCCAAGCTTGGTACCCCACAGTGAACGACTCACCTCCAAGGACCCCTCCCCGCTGCTGCTATCCGGCGGTTGCTGCTCGGCCAATCCATGTGACTTCTTCTCTGAAGCCCTTCCCCAAAACTGACTCTTCATCAGCCCCCCCTTTCCGCCCTGCTCCTCCGGCTGCCCACCCCAGAGAAACGGACAGGCCCGGAGGAGGGACGGGCAGAAGGCGGACGGGTGTCAGTCGCTGGCCCTTCAGCAGGCAGGCAGGCTGGCTGGTCGGCTGGCCGGCTGTGGTCCCTTGCCTTCCCGTCCGTCCTGGAGCTACCTGCAGAGGAGGAGGAGCGCTTTCCCAGAGCTGGCCAGGAGCGCCTTGCCGGGCGGCAAGCACCGGGGTTTCCAGTGGGTGTGGCCACTTGGCGTTTAACACATGGGATTTCCCGCTTGGGGGCGCTGATTGGCATGGTGGCAGCCCTGCGGATTGACTCCCTCCCTCCCTGCCTCGCCAGGGGCCCCACCGGGCCCAGGCAGCGCTCCCCTCACCCCCCTTCCCCCAAATCCGCCCAGCCAGGCTGCTGGCACATGGAGCCTGAGGAAGGGACAGACAGCCTCACACCCCGGCACTGGGCGCCAGACTCAGGGTGAAAGAGGCGGCAACGGCGGCCACCTGGTCAGGGACTAGATGCAGGGCTTTTTGCGGGGGGCTGGCCCGCTCTAGGTGAACACCTAAGGGCCGGCTCGCTCTAGGTGAACACCTAGTTCGCCTAGTGAGTGAGCCGGCCCTGCTTCAGTGATCACGTGGGAGGGCAAATATTGTAACATCAGCAGTTCACTACCAGGGGTGGAATGTAACTGCAATGGCATTGTCACAGTGCACACTGCCAACCGTGCTGCTCAGTAACACAGGAACTGGCTCTGCATCTGTCCAGGAGACAGAAAACAAGGCAGGTCCTTAACTTCCAAGTAAATGCATTTACTGTAGAACAGGGATAAATAGCCCCCAGCATACATGCCAAGCATCAGCCTTTTGAACCATTTTGTCTACCATACTGGGCCAGTTTTCTGCCCAAGTAACCAAGGGGAGCAAACCCCAGAGATTCTGGTAGTGCCACTAGGGCTTGGTTTCATCCCACCATGTCCAGCCAGGTACAACCCTCATTTCCACACAGACACACACACAAACACAGACACCAGTGTCTTCCCAAGCAGACATTGTGGGATTTCTGACCCTCTGGCCAAAGAAGTCACATGTATCTTTTGTCAAATGCATCCCAGCTACGGCAGCCAAAGTCTTCCATTCTGACTCATTAATCTCTTAAGGGATTTAGACCAGAGGTCTACGAGGGCCAGATCAGACATAATGTTACTTTGTCGGGCCAGGCCATGTGTGCCATAAACGTGACGCCAGGTACTAGAGCTAGAAACTATATTAAAGGACAGCAGCTGGTAAGCTCTGAGTTGGTGTATCGTCACTGCAAGGCCCCCTGGACTGGGAGGGGGGGCAGAGGAAAACCCACATGGGCAGACTGGAGGCCCAGAGGTGCAGCAATGGGCAGATGGTCCCACGCTGCTTGACTGCTGCAGATGAAGGTTGTTCCACCAGGCTGAAGCCACAATCGCAGTGGCTCCTGTTCCCTCCCTTGCACCAGTTGCTCACGGGCTGCATCAGAGCCCTGGATGGGCCAGTTCTGGCCCCCGGGCCATATGTTTGACACCCCTGCTTTAGACATTTTCCTTCATGGGTTATGGAACTCTCTCTCTCTCTCTCTCTCTCTCTCTCTCTCTCTCTCTCTTTCTCTTTCCTCTCTCTCTCTCTGTGTTTTTCAGGAAACCAAATCCCTCCACTCTGAAAGCTGGGGAGCTCCGTTCAAACATTAGCCGCTGCCAAGTTTGTATGAGGAGAACATAAGGACTTCCCAGCCGTAGCTAATGTCACAATATGGTGCTATTCCTTTTAACAGCAGTGAAGCTGAGGCATATATCCTACGGACTTCACTCTTGTTGCCCAATATAAAAACCATCAAGTGCCTTACAGGAACCCGTCTAATCAAACCTCTGCTTCCTCGGCCCTTTTCTCGCTGAAGAGGAAGAAGATGCAACGAAGATAAGCTTCAGATGGCACTTTCGAAGAAATGCTGGGATGGATCCAACCTGTCTTCCAAGCGGCCTTCCTCCAGTCAGGGGAGCCTTTCCTCCAGCTTCAAGCGGCTCCTCCGCAAATGGGACGAACCGCTTAACTTGGAGGAAGTCTCTTTAGGTTGGAGGAAAGCCTCTGACTTGAGCCAAAAGGAAAGGTGGGGTATAAATATCTTAATCAATTAATAAAGTTTGCTCATTGAAGCGATTGGATAGGGGTAGGATCCACCCTACTGTCTTATATATAGAAAGTGATGCACTGATCCTTACCCCAAATCCAGAACCCCCCCTTCCTCCCCCCCAAAAAGGTGCTATGCAGGCCGCGTCTCTGCCTCGTGTGTGACACGCCCCCTTTCCCATCCATGCCTATGAGATATGCAGGTTTACTTCCTTATTCTTCCTTAAGCCCTGCCCGACCTGCCTCAGATTTCCAGGCTCTTGGTTTTGTGCTTATGGTCACTGTACAAAGTAATACTAATGTAAATAAGAGTTCTGGAGGAGGAGGAGGACTGGATTCCCTGTGACGCCGTGGAAGGTGCTGACTGGCGACGGTTGCCCACTGCCTGAATTGCACATTGCGCAAAGAAATGAGCAAGAAAGAGGAGGAGACGTCCTGTCAGTCGTGAAAGGCGTTTGCTCTCCGGTACTATGTGCCTTTTGTAAGGCAGTTCAGCCAGTTTTCCTGTGGAACTCAGAATGGTCCAGTGATAAATAAATAGAGTAATTTATGCCAACAACTGGGCAAATGGATTTTAGTTTATTTTTAGATTTCCTTCCCCCCCCCCCTCCTACTACCGACTCTCACAGCAGGGAAGCATGAAACATCTAATTCTCCTAAAAAAAGTTTATGTCCGAGCCGGTTGGAGTCCTGCCGGTCACTCCTGTGACTAACTCAGTAAGACATACCTTGAGCTTCCTTTTTAAGTATTTAATATTTTCAGGGTTAAGCACTAATACACTGAATGACTTGATTTTTGAAACATGTACAAGGCCTTAAGATTTGTATTGAATATTCCGTATCAAACACTCAGCAGATTTCTATTGAATTTCTATAAAATATGCCAATATTTGAGAACATTTTATGTCTAAAACTGATTGTATCATATAACCAAGCCAATATAAAAAAAATATTTCGAAAAGTAAGGCCTTTTAGGTAATTCCTCGACCGTGTAGTTAAAAATGAAAATTTGTAATAAAACTATTTCTGTAAAAAAAAAAAAGTTCTGTAAACATATTCTTGTTTTTCACAAGCTAATAATTATTATTATTATTGTATGACAATTTGTGTAGTATTGCCAGGAGATCCTAAGATTGTCTGGCACCCAGAAATTCTAGCTCTTTTAGCATTATGCACCACTAGGTGGTGAGCTAGACTTGTTTTTAAGGCAAGAGACATTTCAGAGGTGGTTTGAAATTGCCTGCCTCTGCGTCAAGCCCCTGGTATTTCTTGGAGATTGCCCATCCAAATACTAGCCAGGGTCAACCCTGCTTAGCTTCCGAGTTCTTGCAATATTGAGCTAACCTGCAGTTTCACAAGCCGCTAGCATAGAACTGAGTGACAGTTTTATTTTGGCTATGCCACGGTATTCCTAAGAGCAGCTGCCAAACCAAAGTTCCCACAGAGTGACCTATCCTGTCAAAAACATGGATGGCCATTTGGTGGGCTAGGCCCTCTTCCCCTTTCACCCAAGAACTCCTTGAGGCTGGGGAGTCCCTCCATCCCATCCCCAAATGAAAGAATCAGAATTGATCTGAGGGGTTCTTGCCACCATTGCCGCCATCTTATGAGAAGATAGGTAGGGAGCTGGTTTTTAACCATTCTCCAGTAACAGTTACAAGCAAGCAATTTGATTTTTTTCTTTGATTGATGCCACAAACAGTAGCTAGTACAAGTAATTAGAAAGCTTCCCTGACAAAGAAGTAGGGGAGGAACCCATAATGTTTCAAATACTCTCCACTCAAAAGAGAATAACAAGGTGACCATGACTGATTCCTCAGTGTCCAATTTCCCCACATCTGCAGCGTTATTCATCCATGGTTTGTTCGGGTATCTGAAGAACATTTTGCCCTTCCAGGAGCAAACCCACAGTTTTGTTCCTCTTGCTGCACGTTTACCAAATCCCCTGTTTCAGGGAAGGATTTTTTAACCTCAGTATTGAATTCACGGCAATGTAGTGGGGAAAACTTTGGCATCCTCCAGCACCGCCCTTTCCTCCCCAATTTTGCATGCTCACTCCACCCACCCACCCGACGTTACCACCACACAGTTTCTGGTTTCTTTCTTTTTAAAATTAGTCTAAAATAATCGTATTTTTACGTTACTTAAAAAAATCATTTAAATTTCACTGTAAAATTCCTCCAGGATACTAAGAACTTTTCTGCTGTGAGTAAATGATGGCGAACTTGCAGCAAAAATAGGTGAACTTCTAAATGAGATAGAGGGAGGGCGGTAGGTGGGGTCAGCATGTATGGCGGATGACCCAAAATGGTGGTGGGGAGGGGAAATAGGTCACATCACAGACATGCTGCATGATGGGAGGCAGCTTTGCCCCCGTTCGAATTGGATTGCGGAACTCAATCAGCACGTCGGACACCAGAGAAACAACAAGGAAGTCCTAGTGCAGAGCAAGTGAAGTAAATTCGAAGCTTCACGGCTCACGGGTAAAATGAGGTAAGACCATACTGCAGAAAAGGTCCATGACCAGTGTTCCCTCTAAGCTGAGTTAGTGTTTGCTAGCTCACAGTTTCTTAGCCTCCGGCTCACATGTTTTTGTCTTAGCTCAGGAAGGCTGGCTCCAGAGCAAACTAATTGATGCAGCAGCCAAATCGCTCCCTCACAACTTTAATGCCAGTAGCCCACAAAGTAGAATTTTTGCTCACGAGGCTTCACAGCTTAGAGGGAGCATTGTCCATGACAGTGTTCTATAAAAGCAAGACTTTCCCTGTTATGATTCTGTGGCACCGCCCGTATAGTCAACACACTTTGGTCTCTTCAGTATAATGGTGGGAAATTCTTGTCATAAAATGATGATTTGTCTCACAGTCTGACATTTAGCATGAAGAACTTTCCTGGATATAAAAGTTGGCCAAAACTACAGAAACCTTCAGTGGCAACCTTAACTACAGTCCCTGTTGTTGCTGTTTTTTTGGAACATGAGTAAGTTTGCAAATTCCTTCACTGTTCGGTTGAAGGTTTCTGAATTTCAGAACACAATCAGTGGTGATATAAAGAGAATGGAGTACAGGTATGCCCCCCCCCCACGAACACCCAAATTGAAGCTGTATTTGAATAAATGTCTTAATTATCCATATTTTTTTTACTTAGTTAAAAATCATATTGGGCCAGTACTTCTAAATTTCTTCCAACTATTTTCAACAGGAAGCACATTTTGGGGTGTGACTCTCTTTATAAGCTCACATGATATTCTCAGAGACTACACAGCCCACCCAAAGAAGCATCCGTCCTACATTTCAGGAGAATAGGAGAAAGCAATAAAAGTTGTCACTTGGTGTAGAATCATAGAGTTGGAAGGGGCCATCCAGACCATCTAGTCCATGCAGGACCAGCCTAAAGCATCTCTGGCAAATACTCGTCCAGCCTCTCTCTGCTCGAAAGCTGTCAGTGAAGGGGAGCTCTCCACCTCCCTAGGCAGCTGATTCCACCTTTGAGTATGTGTGTGTATGTGTGGACACATTTACAAGCTTTTTCTACTTTCCCGAAGGCTGGAAGAGTCTGAGTTTGCTCTTTAAAAAATGGAGCACACGGGCAAGAGGAACTCAGTCCTGTCCCTTCCAATGCTATATCTCACTGCACTTCCATTTCTTTCAGTGTTTCCCCCCGCCCAGTTGACTTCCTTTCTATGCTTCAAACAACGAAATCCAGCAAGTTGCAGCACAGAAGCAGGGTTAACTTCCCTCAACCACATGCTCCATTAAAAAAAAAATAGACCTACGCATGTCGCTTTACATGTGAATGGATGGATTTATAACAGTGCTTTTAAATACTTTGGGGGGGGTGAGTATTTTGTGTGTGTGTGTGTGCGCTTGCAAACCTGAAAGTCATGGAAGTTACTTCTGGCGACCCCCTCGTGGGGCTAGGATGTTTCAGAGAGGTGGCTTGATAACCTGCCTCTGTGTCCTGGCCCTGGTATTCCTTGGTGGTCACCCTTCCAAGTAGTTCCCAGGGTCGGCCCTGCTTAGCTTCCGAGATCTGAGGAGATCGAGCTGGCCTGGGCTATCCAAGTCAGGGCCAGTGCTTTCGAATACTTCAAGACATCTGGGAGATTTCAAATCCTGAATCAGCAGGTCTCTCACACATATATACCCAGAAAGAGGCAAGATGCCCACCAGTGCAGGGTGCCAAATCCTAGATCTCTAATGCTATCCACCACCACCCCAGCTCTTCCTGCAAACCTACAGCAGAGCCTTGCTTTTATCCCTGCCAGTGGTGGGTTTCCTCTTAAGAGGTAAAGGTCCCCTCGCTCGAAAGCCAGTCGAATCTGACTCTAGGGTTGCGGTGCTAATCTCCGTTTCAAAGCCAAAGAGCCAGCGCTGTCCGAAGACTTTTCCATGCTCATGTGGCCGGCATGACTAAACACCAAGGCGCACGGAACGCTGTTCCCTTCCCACCGAAGTGGTACCTATTTATCTACTTGCAATTTCTTGCTTTCGAACTGCTAGGTTGGCAGGAGCTGGAACTAGAGACGGGAGCTCACTCCGTCATGCGGCACCCAGGTTTCGAACTGCTGAACTACCGACCTTTCACAGCCTGCAGTTCAGCATCTTAACCACTTGAGCCACCGCAGCTCCATCGGGTTTCTTCTTACAGGGAAGATATAACCTATGTCTCTATCCCACTTTCCTACTCTGCCTTCTAGCATGTGCAAACAAAGTTCTATCCATGCCTAACAGATGCAACTCCAGAGCAGTGTTCTCTCTAAGCTGAGTTAGTGTGAGCTAGCTCACAGTTTTTTAGTCTCTGGCTCACACATTTTTGTCTCAGCTCAGAAAGGATGGCTCCAGAGCAAACTAGTTTATGCATCAGCCAACTCGCTCGCTCACAACTTTAATGCCAGTCGCTCACAAAGTAGAATTTTTGCTCACAAGACTCCACAGCTTAGAGGGAACATTGCTCCAGAGAACAAAATAGCTCACAGATAGGACCAGAGGTGCTTAAATATAGACTCAGAGGGAGCTCCCCGCAGTTAATTAAACAGTACACTGATTACTGGGAAGTGAAAATCACTGATCAAAGAAGTCTACCATAGAGGGCTGGAATTCAAGGGAGGCTTGTACAGG